TAGATAGATAGATAGATAGATAGATAGATAGATAGATAGATAGATAGGCAGATAGGCAGACAGACAGAAGGACAGACAGATAAATAAAGAGTAGAACGGCCTGTATTCTTATAGCTGCTATCCAGCCTCCCAAAAGGAAGATGGGCTAACTACTCTCTTTCATAAGATGAATTATCACCATGGCAACCGTATCCTTCACCTTCTACTCTTTCCCAGCTCAGTGGGAAACGCTGCAGTGGCTTGTGCTGAGACTGCAAAACAGAAGGGACTTTTCGGGCCCGTATGGGAAACTGCACCAAAACTGCCGCTGTCGGCAAGTTTACAGCCGCTGTTTGAGAGAGACAACAACACACATCCTTGACCGGGACATGGCCGTCACATCTGATGGAATTAAAGGGCCAACGCGGAGACAAAGAACAGACAGCCCAGAATAACAAGAACTGGAAGGGACCTTGGAGGTCTTCTAGTCCAGCCCCACCCTCCAGCAGGAGAACCTATACCTTTTCAGACAAGTGGTTGTCCGGTTTCTTCTTAAAAACCTCCAGTGATGGAGCAGCCACAACTTCTAAAGGCAAACTACTCCACTGGTTAATTGTCCTGTCAAGAAGTTTCTCCTTAGTTCTAGGTTGCTTCTCTCCTTGGTTAGTTTCCACCCGTTGCTTCTTGTCCTGCCTTCAGGGGCTTTGGAGAATAGCTTGACTCCCTCTTCTTTGGGGCAGCCCCTTAGTTACCGGAAGACTGCTGTCATCCCTAGTCCTTCTCTTTGTCAAGACTAAACATTCCCAGTTCCCTCAATTGTACATCCTAAGGATTTAGCCTCCTCCTATCTATCTATCTATCTATCTATCTATCTATCTATCTATCTATCTAATCTATCTATATACACATACATATACATATATACATACATACACACACACACACACACACACACGGTATTGTATTCACCTTTGTTCGGGTATTTTCCCGAAACGTTGCTACAACTTTAAAAGCACAACTACAATGACGTGGGAAAATACCCGAACAAAGCTGAATACCATACATGTAAGTACCAGCGAAAACTTAAGAAAACACACACACACACACACACACACACACACACACACACATATATATGTATATGTATATGTATGTATATATATATATATATATATATATATTTTCTCTCTTAGCAACGTAAATTCCGGGCTCCATTGTGGTGGTAAGTTGAGATCTACCCATTTATCAGAAATCAAGCTCGATTAACAAGCAATAGGGCAGGCTCGGCATGCGTTTGCTCAGAAGGAAATCATTCTTATTGGCCTTGTATTTTATTTTATAACCCAAAATTGGAAAGGGAGAGACGAAAAAACAAATCTGAGATTTAATGCGCGAAGTTTCCCTCCTTCCTTCCTTGTCTTAGATGTGGCTTTCAGGCTGAAAGCATCTGCTTTCTTGGTGTGTAACTACGAGGAACTTTGATTAAATCCAAATTGGGAACACTGGTTAGAATAAAATACAGACGGAGCTGTTCAGAGTCGTAAATGAAGATCTGGTTTTGTTTTGGAAGCCTTTGTTTAAGACAGCCGCAGTTTGTTAGACGCCAAAACAAGCCACAGGCCCTTAAAATGGGGAACGGGTGCTAAACTGTGATTTATGTTGTATCTGAAGCAGAATTATTTTGGCTGGAAATGCTTGGATCCCAGTTTTCGAAGCACTCAAAACGAGATTAAAATGAGAATCCCTTTTAAGGCTTTGGGGTAGTTTAAAAGGAAACATTTACCAGTTCAATACAACATTGTTTCCTGCACCACAACAGTCCTTCAGTGGTTTCCCGCTGCCATAAAAATCCATAATAAAACAACCTGATCTTTTGCCCTAGATGCAAATCAAGAAAGAAGTGGGTTCAAATCCTGCAGCCAGCTCAATACACTGCTTTTTTGGATAAACCGTTTCTTTGCATTCAGACAGAACGCCTTAAGAGAAAGGATGAAGTTATACCCTACGACAGATAACTGAAAAGGGGTTTAAAATGCTGCTGTGGTTTATTTCATTTTTTGAAACAGGAGGCTGCGCATAATTCATCCCCACTGTGGATTAACCAAGGGTGCCATCTAGCGGCTTTCAGCCCTAACTGGACGTTTACACAATCCACTTTTTTTAATCAATGAGACAGTCCCATTAAATAAATATATATAAAAAAAAAAAGCTTTCATTGAGCAGATCCTTTTCCAGAGCTAAAAATAACTCCCATTCCTAGGCCAGCCAGCAACCCACAGTGGCCCAGGAATGCTGGGAGTTGGAAGTCCACAGGTTGCTGTAGTTCTCCATGCCTGATTTAAGTCATGGGAAAATGGATGCAGGCTCTCGATAACAGGGCTGGATTTCCAAACTTGGCCACTTTGTGGACTTCAACTCTCAGAATAGCTGGCTGGGGAATTCTGGGAGTTGAAGTCCATTAAGTCTAGAAGCCACCAAGTTTGGAGACCGCATACCGCGTTGACTGACAGCTGACCCTGGAATATAATCTCAGAAGGCTTTCTGCAAAGCAATTTAATGACCGTCAAAGGTGAATCCACCCTACTTGGCTTAAATGAGAGTGATGTAAGGAGAGGCAAGATCCCAAGGGAGGAATATGGAAGAGAGTGGTCAAAAACGTGACGAGAATTGAAATACTAAAAAGGACAAGAGATGATGGATAGATATAGAATACTTCTTAATATAAGATTTGCTTGATTAAGGGTTAGAAAATAGAAGCAGAAGTTAGAAATGTGGAAAATATGACTACCTATATCGCTATACAATACATTATCATTACCATGTAGACACAAATGATAGAAGCTGAAAGGTTATTATTAGATATACATGAATTGTATTATTGTTTTTAATACTGTCTATAAAGTAAATTGATGATTATTACTATTACTTTAACTACTATTATTAATCTCAGAATTATTAATTTTTTTGTAAATCCAAAATGACTCAGACAATAATACACCGTTCACCAAGCACCTATGTGTAGTTAAAGAAAAAAAACATATCAATAAAAAACTTTTTTTTTTAAAAAAAAGTGAAACCACCGCTTGGCGGTTCATTTGCAATTCACGGTAGCAAAAGACGCAAAACCCTTTTCTGGATGTTCCTTTCTCTCTTTTCATTAAAGTTGTGAGTCACACACGCACACACCCCTTGCTGCCACCTGCAAAACTAGGCTAAGCAGCTTGAGGGGTTAAGCTCCTTCCTGGAACCTCAAGCCGTGTCTAATTGAAGGGTGAGAGGAAACAGCCAGAACTCTCCCCTGGTGTGTTCTGCTAGGCAACCAGCCCCTTGTTGTCATAAACAGGTGTCACCTACCTTCCTGCAGCACGGATTTGGACAGCTGAACCGCTTCACCTCCTTGTCCAGGAGAGCCGGGAAGTTGCAAAAGGGACACCTGAAAAACCAGAGAAGATTGAGTGAGGGCTTTGGAAGGGGAAGCTTGTAGAAAGAAAGAAAGGCGTGGAAATGCACCTTCCTTCTCGGTGCAGGGAACCCTTCGACTTACAACTCAACGGTTCCAAGTTACAACAGCACTGCAAAAACAAAAACAAAAACAAAAAAGCAGCAAAATGAAGGGCAGCCCCGGGGCTTCACGATGGTTACAGAGTCCGGTCGTTGGATCAGCTCGTTTGGGTGACCTTCCCAGTCGGCTTCTGAAAAACGAAGCCAAGCGGGGTGGGGAGCCAGACTGCACAATTTTGCAGACACCCCCCCCCCCCCCGGATGCTTAGCAGGGAAATTCTGGGCCCGACTGAGACCTTGTTAAGCCAGGTTTGCGTTAATTCGGCCATGGGGCTTTCCAAGCTGCAGGTCGCCGTTTTGCAAGGCCCGTTTTTGCAGCACTCACAGCAATTCCAGAGTTTGCATGTAGCAAAACCACCGGGTTATGCCTCCTTTTTTTAAAAAAAATATTTTCTTTTAGCCAAACAGGGAGCCAACGACCTGTTAAAACCCAGGTTAAATTTCTGCAAGGTTTAAGGCACTCCACTTCCTCTCCAAAACCTACAAACTCAAATATCTTCCTCCTCCTTCCTTTCTCCTCTTCCTCCTTCCTCTTCTTCACTCCTCCTCCGTCCAAAACCTACAGACGCAAAGATTTTACTCCTGCTCCCTTCTTTCTCTTCCTCCCTCCAAAACTTACAGACCCAAGATTGTCTTCCTCTTCTTCCTCTTCCTCCCTCCAAAACCTAGACCCAAATTTTTCCTCCTTTTCCTTTCTCCTCTCCCTCCTTTCTCCTCTTCCCCCTCCCTCCAAAACCTACACAAACCCAAAGATTTTCCTCCTCTTCCTCCTCCTCCTCCATCATCACCTCGGGGTTACACCCATGTTCCCTGAGGTTAATTTCAAAAGCGAGAAGACGGGCCATTGGCAGCTGGAAAAAGCTGCCCGCCCAATGCAAAGCAAGGCCAACGAATATGAAATAGCCAACAAATGCTGGAGAGGTGGGCCCAGGGAGGTGTGGGGGAGGGAAGGGGAAGGAAAAAATATGCTCGTTGAGGATCCTGGCCTCCAGAAAGGTCAGAGGGTCTTCGGAAAAGGAGAACGGCGTCCAGAAATAGAAACAGATGCGTCATCATGCACACCTGGTTTACAGGTGCCTCTACGCAGACAAAGTTTTAGCTCCAAGGGCCAGGATTGTACATGTCTCTTGAGTTGCGACGTGGAGGGCAGAGGCTCCGCTGCATGGAGAGCCTTGAAAGGGCGGGAGGTTGGTCCTGAGCCCTCACCACCACCTCCCAAATTCGGCCCGGGCAAGCGAGCTTTTACCTGACAAGTTCATCTGCGCAAGCAGCCGCTACTTCCTCCTCGGCTTTCCTCTCGTAGTATTTACAGAGGATGTTCTCAGGAAGCACTTTCTCCAGTTCGGTGGTGGGGAATGAACAGGTGCAGCTCCCTTCCATGCAGCTGAGCTCCGACTGGGTCCAGGGAAGAAGGAGGGGAGGGAGGGAGGACATGAAGGTTACAGGATCGGAGGGAAGGCTGTGCATGTCAGGAGCTGTGGTGGCGCAGCGGTCAGGATGCAGCACTGCAAGCTAAACTCTGCCCCAGCTGCCCGAGAGTTCGATGCTGACAGGCTGAAGGCTGACTTCAGCCTTCTGGCCTTCAGAGGTAAAACAAGGAGCCAGATTGTTGGGAGGACGATAGGGTGACTCTTTAAACTGCTTAGAGAGGGCCCTGAAGCACTTGTGAAGTGGTATTTAAGTCTGGTATGGCTTGGGAAGGAAGGGAAGAAGGAAGGGAAGGAAAGAGAGATGAAGGGAAGAAAAAAGAGATGAAGGGAAGGGAAGAAAAAAGAGATGAAGGGAAGGGAAGGAAAAGAGATGAAGGGAAGAAAAAAGAGATGAAGGGAAGGGAAAGGAAGGGAAGAAAAAAGAAATAAAGGGAAGGAAAGAAAAAGAGATGAAGGGAAGGGGAAAAGAGATGAAGGGAAAGGAAGGGAAGGGAAAGGAAGGGAAGAAAAAAGAGATAAAGGGAAGGAAAGAAAAAGAGATGAAGGGAAGGGGAAAAGAGATGAAAGGAAGGGAAGGGAAGGGAAAGGAAGGAAAGGGAAGCATGTTTCATTACCCAAAATAGATTAACATCATCAGTGCTAGCAATCATCAGACCAGCACTGACGATGTTCCCTAGGGCCCTGAAATATCTGCAAGAAAACCACCCAGCTCAGAGGCCACCAAGGACCCACAGTCCTTCTCCTTCTCTCCTCTTCCTCTTCCTCAACTCCTCTTATCCCTCTCCCTTCTAGCACTGATGATGTTCCCTAGTTTGGGCCAGGAAACACCTGCAAGAAAACCGCCAAGGACCCCAACAGCCCTCTTCTTCCTCCTCCTCCTCCTCCTCCTGACCTCCTCCTTCCTCCTCCTCCTCCTGGCCACAAATCCAAATCCTCACCTTCCCAGAGCCAAAAACGGCCTCCTGTGCGTATTTGATTAAGCATTCCTTGCAGAACAGGTGTCCGTCGGCACACTGGGTCAGCTCTTCGAAGGCAAATTCCCCGTAGCAGCAGCGGCATTCGATCAGCTGGCCATCCTGGAAAGCAGGCCCCAAAGGGGAGTTACAAAATGGCGACCCCAGGACGTCATAAAACCATGCTGGTTGCCAAGTGCTCGAATGGGGACCGTGTGGATGTTTTGACTTGTCGTGACTGCCATCACAGCTCGACAGCGGTTTATTTTGTGCGGGGTTTTTTGGGGGGGGGGGATAAAGTGAACAATACAATGGGTCAGAGATGCCTCCTGGCTACTTACTTTTTGATACTGCTCCTCATTCATCTGCAGGGCAAGAAGGAAATCCGCATGCTGGCAAGAGAGAAAAGACACCGTTAGCACTGGTAAATAGTGAAAAATAGAGCACTTGTCTTTATTAGCGACCGAAAACGCCTTGTTTGCGTAAAAATAAACTTGTGATTTATGGCTCTGGGGATTAGCCAGGATGGATTACAGAAAGTAGCGTGGTACGGCTTTAGAGAGAGAGAGAGGTTAAAATATAATTGTATATTGCAAGCGGCGTCTTGATGTCTTCGTATCTTTATTTTTATCTTGCTGTTTGAATTATTTCTCGCTATTCTTTTCTTACAGTCAGTTTTCTTATTATCAGAAATAAGCTATACGTGGATTATTTTCTGCGGATCACTGTAGCGGGGGCGTCAATCACACCAGGCCTGATTTCCTGCCAGTCTGAAGCCAAAATTATTTTACGTGTTCAATTTAGATGCCTTTTAATCTTCGACTGGGAGCCGCAGAGAGTTGGCCGAAAGATGGGCGGCCAGAGACACGTTTTAATGAAAAAAGAGATGGGTGAAAATTCTGGCAGGCCCAATTCTGTCTGCCACTGAATCTAGAGAACGAGGAAGCCCTGTTTGGTTCCGTGTTTAGACACGCAACTGGTTTTTTTCCCACTATTTTATAACTTTAGAATTGTAAATCGCCCAGAGTTGCTTGGCTGAGATGGGAGGTTACAGAAATCGAACGATTGAGGAAAAAAATACAAATACTTTTATTTCTGTTTGGAAATTTGTGCTTGAGGTGGCCAAAAAACTGAGGCTTTGATTTGGGGTTTTATCAATTAGATAGATTAGTTGTTACAGAGTTGGCTAGTTTATACTATTACGTAAAAAGTAAAAAAGTTGAGATTAGATATTAATGCCTTATTTTACTGCACCAAACTCAATGCCTTTTTAAAAAAAATTTCCTCTTGCTTTCTTCCACTATCCACTTCCCTTTCCCTTCCCAGATTTCCCTACTACTTTTGTATTTATATGCTATATTACAAACTAATAAAAATTGTATATGTATAAAAAAGAAATTGAATGACTGACTGATTGATTGAACGATGGACTGATTGATTGATTGAATGAACGAAAACAAACTTCAAGTGTATCCCACTGAAAATACGAGTATTTTAAGGGATTTTGCACCGCATGTGCTGTATGTCCAACCTGCAGTGCTCAGGCCTTTGATTTTACAGAGGTACGTGTGTGTGCAAGGGGTGAGAAAACAAGGCACCCCGTTCCCCTCCCACCCAGGGCTTGTGACTACCTCTGCCATCTCTTTGATCTTCTGTTCGTAAAACTCCCTCTCCAGCTGCACGGGGGGCAGGAGGGAGAGCTGGTCGTAACTCCTCCAGTGGCGCCTCTTGTTCTCCAAGAAAAACATGCGCTTCTCAATCTTCGTGTCACCTGGAGCGTAGTTTGAAAGCACGAGGGGTCGTTTCAAAGGAAAAGGAAAAGGAAGGGGGAAAAAAAATCAAACGCTTCTCTTAACGAAGGAGACCTTTGTAGAAGAACTTTGTAAAAGTAGGTGTGAGAAAATGCAAGTCTAGACTTAGGGAGCCCGTCTGCAGGAATTGCCCCAGAGTGGGTTTTTCCTTTCTTTAAGGGGAATGATTTAATCCACCAGGATTTGCACGGATGGATTTTTGATTCCAGCTACCCGGGTTGCTTGTTTGCACAGCTTTACTTTGGAGCAAGCGGTAGAAAAATCCGAACTTTTCTTGGGGTTTTTTTTTTCTTTCTTTTCTTTGAAGATGTTTTGCTTCTCATCCCAGGAGCTTCTTCAGCTCTGACTGGATGGTGGGGAAGGATTTACACTCCTTGGCCATTTGCATTCTTTTAGAGAGTCCTTAAGGCCACTTGGAGGTTTATCTGCAGCTGTTCCAAGAAGGCTCCTCCACCCGCTCAAGGTGACCCTGAGAACACAGATAAACCCCCAAGCGGCCTCAACGACCCCCTGAAAAGGATGCAAATGACCAGCTGCCTGCAGGCTTTCTCAAAGATTCAAGCAGAAACCTTGAAGGGGGAATCACATCTCTCTGGATAAAATCGCCACTTGTTTTTATATTCCGCCACTAACAGTTCGACCCACCTCTGCAAAGCCCCCCCCCACACACACACACACACAAAAAGAGCACCCTCCAACAGAAACCACTCACCCTGCTCAAATTTGAAGTCTATGTAGGAATACTGATTCATTTCTTTCCTTCTTTTTCGCTTCCCGCTGGTTTCGGGAGATAACTCTTGCCATTTTTTGATGGCATCGGAAAAGGCCTAAAAGAAGAAAGGGGTCTGGGGTCGTAAAATGGGACAAAACTCACTTAACAACTGTCCCGCTCAGCAGTGGACGTTTTGGGCTCAATGGTGGTTGTAAGTCGAGGAGTACCCGTTATCAGAGGACTCTGAAATTCCGGGCTCCTGAGGGATTTCTTTCGTGAGCCCAGGCTGCGCCTGAGGGGGTGTTCTTAGAAAGGAGAAGGAGAAGCAAGAGGGGAGAAACCTTTCGTGTGATTGCATAGTGTCCCTTGAGTTCGTGGAGTGCCCACTTGATGTCTTGGCTGCTCAGCATTTTGAAGTCGGCCATGAGGAGGTCAGCGGCTTGGATGAAGCAACGTTGGTCGAGTGGATCCAGTTTGGAGAAGTCAAAATAGTCCACTTTAGGCACCTAAAGGAGGAAGAGGAGGAGGGAGGAGGAGGAAGAGGAAGAGGGAGAGAAAGGAGGAAGAAGAGGATGAGGAAGGAAGAGAAAAAGAAGGAAGAGGAGGAGGAAGAGGAGGGAGTAGAGGAGGAGGAGGAAAAAGGAAGAGGAGGAAGAGGGAGGAAGGCGGAGGAAGAGAATAAGGAAGAGAAGGAGGTGGAAGAGAACGAGGAAAAGGAGGGAGGCAGCAGGGGAGAAGGAGGAAGAGAGGAGGAGGAGGAAGAGGAAGAAGGAAGAGAAGGAGGAAGAGAGAGGAAGGAG